TAATTTAGCACAATTACCTTAATTGACACATTAATCATATTCATTATTTGTTTAGGACATTTCACATTGTCGGCTATATTTATCGTCACCGACTTATTCGCATGGTTGGCAAGAGAAAAGTGCATAACACTTTGGGAGACTTACTTCACCATAAACCGCTCCCTACTGGAATTTTGAAAGTATCGGTTGATATTGAGTTAGAGGGAGGTGCGTTGTTGCCTATACCAGATGATGTTTCCGATGCAACAGTGGTGGGAGACGCAATAGGATCGTTTGTTGCATGGCCGTCAAATCTCATTTTCATAAATGATGAGGCAAGTTGAACACCATTATGAAGTATTCTAATACTTTACGACCCATACCTGAAAGTTATTATTACATTTATATTTACTTATTTACATGATGATCTTAGACTCCTATAAAATCCAAATCAAAAGAAAAGGGAATTATTGCGCGGGAAACTGATTCGGCTGCATCAAAACAGGTACTATTACAGTTACATGATGATCTTATTAAACATTAATTACTGAATTTATATGACTTTTAGGTTCATGATCAACAGTTGCAAGAAGCCAGCAAGGGTAAAATGCCTGAATCTACCAAGGTGCCCAAAAAAAAGGCCGAGACAAAAAAAGTATCTATTCCTCGATTTAGGTTGGGCCTTGAAACATATGTAGGAACAACAGATGTGGCTGAGGGTGGCATCCGTCAAATACCTATCCAGGAAGGTATTTTCGGTTTTGAATATGCCGAAACAATTGGCAAGGAGGATTTGGACCAGATTTTCCAACATTCTGAATTGGGCGTTGGTGTTATGCATTCCTACATCAGGTAGTACTCCGATCAATTTTAATTAAATACTTGAACAAATTATTTGCTCATTTAAATGAATATTCTAATGTTGATTATATTTTTATTTAAGGTTATTGTATGACAAGATGTTGGTCCCGTATGGTTTGACTTCAAGATTCGCATTCTTATCTGCTAACTGTATCAACGCATGGTCAATCGACCACACTCCAGATGTGGTCAGAGATTACATAGTCAAATCATTTATGGCCGCAGATACAGAGAAATGGTACTTGTTGCCATATAATACTGGCCATGGGTTAGATTTCATTATAAATTCATTTATTATAATTATTCGTTTTTTCCATTCTATATAACATTTCAGTCTAAACTTTTGTCTTATTTTACAGTGGACACTGGTTGTTGGTCGCGATTAATCCGATGAAAGAAATAGTGTATTATCTGGATTTATTGGATGGTGATCAAACAAAATATCCTGATATGAAGACTATGGTTGATACGTAAGTGATGAGATATACTGTTCTGAATAATTATCTTTATATATTATGTGAGATTGTTCTAAATATTCGTTTATATTATGTTAGATCTATAAAAATATTTCAATCGCAAAGAGAAGCAACAGTGCCAAAAAGGAAGGCTAACAACATTAGATGGATCAGAGTGCAGGTATGTTTTCACATTTTTGACTGTTATAGTGATTCTACTTTATAAAACTATTTAAACTATATATCCTCATAAATGATCATTTGTTTTTTCCATTTACAGTGTCCTCGTCAGTGCAATGGATTGATTGCAGATATTTTGTATTGCGCTTTATGAAGGAAATTATTCACTCAGGTCAAATAGATATTCCAATCATGGTATGGTTCAATTCATAAGTTATATGATTTATTTTAATATTTAACCGATATTTCATCTGAGTAATAAGTTTTAAAACTAAATTGTGCATGTTCTGTTATATTATGTAGTACTTTGATGAATTCAAGTGTGGTACTTACTCGAAAGCAGGATTGGAAGAAATTAAGGAGGAATGATGTCAATAAATTCTTGAGTTGAGAATCGTATAAGTTATATGTATCGTCAAATATTGAGGTGGGATAATAATATTTCTGGAAGTCGTATCTATTTGTAAAATTATCGGATTTGTAATGATATATAAATTGACTGTATTTGTGATGTTGTTCTGAGGATCGGATTGTGTTGTAATATATTTAAGAAGGCTTATGTGTATTAAAATGATTATGGGCAAAGTGATGAATTATAATGTATACTTAAGGCCAAAGTGTTGAATTACAATGTATATATAAGTCCAAAGTGTTGAATTATAGGCCTGAATTATAAGCAGGGAATGTATTTGTTATAAGCAGGTTTATCAAAAAAATATATAAAAAATGTGATTATTTAAATAAATTAAAAATTAAAAACGTGAAGAATAGACAGCGCTTTTACAAAAAAGCGCTGCTAAAGGGGGCATAGAGAGCGCTCAAAAAAGCGCTGCTATAGGTGGGGAATGGGGGGGGGGGGGGGGGGTCTAAGAAAGCACTTTCTAAAAGCGCTGCTAAAGGGGGGGGGTCTAAGAAAGCGCTGCTAAAAGGGGCAAAAAACGCTGTTAAAAGTGCTGGTAAAGGGGGCCTATAGCAGCGCTTTTTCCATAAAAAAAACATTGTCTTTACCTTTAGCAGCGCCACTTTAGGCAGCGCTTTTAAGCGCTGCTAAAGGTCTATTTTGGCATAGTGCTTGTTTGAGGGCCCAATTAAAGTCCCGCCAATTTGTTTCAAAGTCTTGCGTGAGGGTCTTAGAGTCCCATCAAACAGGCTCAACATATAGTTTCTCTTGAGGAACTAGGAGTACCAACAAATAGGCTCGTCTAAACGCCTCTCTTGAGGGACTTGATGTCATCCCAAACTCGATTTAACCTGTAGTATCACGCAAGGGACGCGACTGATGTCTTCCTCAAGAGACTTAACTTAAAGTCCTGTTTGAGGGCTTGATCAGAGTCCTGCCCAAAGGGCTCAATGCCTCACATGAGGGACTTGGAGTGTCATTGGAAGAGTTTAACATATAATATTTTATTGGATACTTTGGGTCTCGTCAAAAGGATGCCCCTGATGCTCTGTCATTTAAAGCACTCATTCTTTTATCAAAGCCATTGTGATTTAAGGATTGTGTAGTAATATATTTGTAAATGGAATATTCAAAGTGGGAGGAATGTAACCCCAATGAGGGGCAACATCCATCTGTGCCCGCCATTAGGGATTATCTTGCCCTAAGTGCGTCCTATTTGCCCATTCATGGAAAACATGGAAAAGGACATTTCTTAGTTAGAGATAAGTCAGGGTGAACATGTTAATCCACGTCTCCCTAGTAAATAAGAACTCAATTGTCACCACTGGCTGAGTGGGTGGTTATCATTTCCAAGGAAACCGTAAGCCCAAAAGCCTCTATAAATACTGTCTGCCTAATAAGTGAGAGACAAATCATAACATATTCAGAATATCACATAAACATAAAGTTTCTCACCTCACGTGAATCTGCTCTCTTCATAGCCAAAAACACCATCAAACAGAGCCTCTTTTCGCCACAAGGAAGCCTTTAACTACCAGAATAATACTAAGGCCTCAGGTCATTAACATATAGGTACCACGTGGCATGTACTTTTTGACAAGTACATTATTCTAATTTTACTTTCATGTTTATTTACAAATTTAAAAAAAAAATGCTAACGAGTGTTCTAGGGATATTCTTTAAGACTTTAAAATAATAAGTTTTTTTTTTTAAAATATACGTATTTAATGCTTCAGAAATTAAAATGGTTAATTTTCTTATAAAATACCCCCTTCGTCCTAAATTATAAGACGTTTTGGGTATTTCTTACGAATTAAGAAATACAATTATTACTTTATGAAATAATGAAATGATATATAACTTTACAAAGTTGTTATTCATTAATTATATTGGAAAACAGACTAAAGGAATAGGAAGAAAAAAAGAGAAATAAATGATAAAAAATATATTAGTAAAACAATTCATTAATGTTGTATTAGAATTCTAAAATAACTTATAATCTACGACAAATTCTTTTTTTAAAGTGACTTATAATTTAAGATAGATATAGTATTTTTTTATTTAAAATTTTTTAAAAATATTTCTAAAACATTGGTTAGCAAGACCCAATAAATAATAATCTATATTGCTCATTTGACTCAATTTATTTTTTTTATTTAACAAATCTTATTAAATATTTCCATATATCGCAGAGGTAAATGATTAATTATGTAAATTTATGTATAGTGTACACATTCAAAGAATTCAAACAAATAAAATAGAAAAAATAACAAATATCGTTATTTGTATTATAAAAAATAGTTTTAAAATATTATAAGTAGCATAAAAATAAAAATAGGAAAAATAACAAATATTCTTGGATATTTGTAAAAATAATTTATATTAATGGTTTAGTTAAATGTATATCAATAAACAAGTTTAATATTTTAAATACATACAATGTAAATTCTATGAATTAAGTCATAAAATAAAAAATAAAGTCATATTTTATTTATTTATTATTTTTATTTAAAATCCTTACAAAGTATTTCTAGAACACTTTAATAAATAATAATATATATTGCTCATTTGACTCAACTTATTTATACTTTTTTTCAATTTAACAAATACTATTAAATATTCTCACACAAGTAAACGACAAATAGACGATGAATTATGTAAATTTATGTATAGTGTATACATTCAAAGAATTCAAACAAATAAAATAGAAAAAATAACAATATCCTTATTTTTATTATAAAAAATAGTTTAAAAATATTATAAGTAGCATAAAAAAATGGGAAAAATAACAATTTGTAGAAATAATTTATAACAATGGTTTGATTAAATGTATATCAATAAGGAAATTTAATATTTTAAATACATACAAAGTAAATTCTATGAATTAAGTCATGAAATAAAAAACAAAGTCATATTTTATTTATTTATTATTTTTAACAATCTCTTTTCCATAATTTTATTTAGTATAAATAGAGGAGCATTTGAGTTATTTTCATTACCATTTCTTCTCATAGTTTGAGTTATAACTTTCACCACCCATTCTCCTTGTTCTTCATTGCAAGAAATTTCTGTGTCTCTTTATCAATCTCTATCAACACATTAATTTAGTTGAGTCTTTAATCGTGATGGACTCGGATATCTCTGAGAACGACGATCTTGGCTTTGCCTTCAATGATTCTAGTTTCTCTGATAGAATCATTCACCTCGAAATTATAAAGGATCTTATTAAACTTTTCCCTAATGCCGAGAGCTGCTCCACAAGTGCAGATCAAACTAGTCTCGCCAAAAGGAGAAGGGAGGACATTCAGAAAGACAATGGTATACACTAATATTTTTTCTACAAAACTCTTTTAATTTTTTCTATTTTTTTACGGACAACTCTAAAAAGGCGTGTCTGTGTCCGTATTTTTTATTTAATGACTTGATTCATAGAATTTAATTATCTGTATCGATATCAGACTACTCTAAAAAAGACGTGTATGCCACGTTGTACATATCAGGTTATGTGTTTTATGTACCAATTTTTCATCATACTAACAAATCTTCTCTCCTGTTTTTGGTAGCAGACTTACTGTCAGACCAGCCTGATCAGCCTGATGGAGACGATTCTGCGGCGCGTAAGCCTCAGGATGCGGAGGCAGATGCTATGGTTAAAGCGTCAACGACTGGTACTTGGATAACTTAAAATATCTCTTGCATAGTTTCTTAGTTTCATCATTTCTTTTTAAAGAAATAACATGGTCTAAGTCATGGAGACAACATCTTATTGTTGGTTTGACCATGTTTATCAGAATCGTTAATTTTGTACACCGGTTATACGATTTGATAATTTTATTGATAATCCATGAAATTACACAATCTGACAGAAATTGTGAATTGTCCCTGTACCCTGATTTAATTGCTTATGTGATGTTTTCAATTCTTAAGCTGAAAAACACGTTTCTTTTGCATGCAAGATAAACATTCCGGACTCCTTTGTTTTGACTTTTTTTAAAATGATTTTTATAATGTAATATAACACCAGTTTGTTTTGCTTTTTTAAAAAAAATGACTTTTATAGTTTAATATATTTTAGTGCAATGAAAATTTGGTTTGAATAGTTGTTATTAAAATGTTATTTTATGTAATTCATCATTTTATCAAAATTATTTTTGAATGTTAAAATTTTTAAAAATTACTTAATTTTGAAGCTAATTCAAATAGCTTTTCATAAAAATCAATTTTAAAATACAACTTTTTGAAAAAACTTTGATTTTGACTATGTTTTAATTTTCAATAATGTATGTTTATGTTATAGTATGTTAAAATTTGTCTGTTAATTTATAAAAAACAAATTTGAAAATCTTGTAATATTTTAAAAAACGTTTTTGTAGAATTCATTTTCAAAAAAAAAAAATCCATTTTTTAAAACTAAAACAAATTAGCCCATATTTTGGTGTAAAAAAATTTTACAAAGAAATTTTTCATAAAAGTTTCAAATGAAAATTTGGTTTGAATAATGATTCTTAAAATGTTATTTTATTTATTTCATTATTTTATCGAAACTTTTTTTAGATATCAAAATTTCAAAAAATCATTTAATTTTAAAACTATTTCAAATAGTTTTTCATAAAAATTATTTTTGAGATATAACTTTTTGAAAAAATTGTAATTTTGACTATGTTTAATTTTCAAAAATGTATGTTTATGCTATAATATGTGAAATTTATCATAAAAAACAAATTTAAAAAAACTTGTAATATTTTGCAAAACATTTTTGTAGAATTTATTTTCAGAAATAAAAAGAAAATTCCATTTTTTTTAAAGGTAAAAGAAACTTGGCCTAAATGTGATGATTTCAGGTCTGTTCACTGATTTGAGTTTGATTATTAATAATATAGATGATGAAGCTGCCAATCCCACAAATGTTGCAGATTCTCACATTGACTGCTCTGCAGTACTTAAAGTGAGAACACTGCATATTAGCTCCGCCATCCTGGCTGAGAAGAGTATGTTCTTCTACAAGGTTTGTGTCTTTTCTTTATTTGTTATATTTGAATACTTTTCGTAATTTTGTTTGTTCAGTTATGTGTATTATTTTGCAGCTCTTCACTAATGGGATGAGGGAGTCGCAGCAGACACACGTCACCCTGAGAATCACTGCATCTGGTATATAAAATGCTTTTTAGATTATTTGCTTATTCAGATTTGTTTTCTCCAATAGTTTGCTTACTGATGCTGATTTATTATGCATGTGACAGAGGAAGCTCCATTCATGGAGCTTTTGAACTTTATGTACAGCAGTTCTCTAAATGCGACCTCACCGCCTAGTTTGCTGGACATCTTTATAGCGGCGGACAAGTTTGAGGTGCCGTCCTGCATGAATTACTGCAGCCGGGTATTGCTGAACATACCCATGACAGTGCAGTCTGCGTTGCTCTACCTAGAGCTTCCTTTATGTGTGAGAATGGCTAATGCTGTTAGGCCATTGGTTTTAGCAGCAAAACAGTATCTCGCTGTTCATTACAAGGACATCACAAAGTATGTTTTTCTTTTCTTTGTTTAAATTAGTCGTATGATATATGTTATAAACTTCTTTTAAACAGAATTTTTTTATAAATTACCATATGCCCTGAGCATAGCTCGTTAGAAAAACAAAAAAAACTATAATGTATTTTATGCACTTTTAAAGAATAGAATGTTCAAATGATTATTTAGGACATGGTTGATATATTTATACTCATATAGTGAATCATTGCTGATTTTTTGAACTCTAATAAGTTTTATCATTGACCAGGCATCTAGAGGAGCTGATGGAATTGCCACTTGCTGGAATCGTTGCATTATTATCCAGCGATGAGTTGCATGTCCCATCTGAGGATACAGTGTACGACTTCGTGCTGATGTGGGCTCGAACCCGGTACCCTAGTCTGGAGGAGAGGAGACGTATCCTCAGAACAAATCTTATCCACTTCATCCGCTTCCCATTCATGACCTGCCGCAAGCTGAAGACGGTCCAAACTTGCAACGACTTCGACCACGAAATCTCTTCTATGCTAGTAGCTGATGCCTTGTATTTCAAGGCTGAGGCACCACACCGGCAAAGGATGCTAGCTGCGGAATCAGCTTCCACTAGTCGCGTCTTCATTGAGCGGTCATACAAGTACCTCCCTGTAAAGGTTGTGGAATTCGAACGTCCACATCAACAGTGTGTGGTCTACTTAGACCTGAAACGGGAGGAGTGTGCCAACTTGTTCCCCTCTGGCCACGTCTGTTCACAGCCCTTCTATTTAGGTGGTCGGAGAATTTTCTTATCAGCGCAATGCAATATGGACCAGCATAGCTTCTACCATTGCTTTGGCTTGTTCTTTGGCATGCAGGAGAAGGACTCTGCCAACATCAGTGTCGACTATGAATTTTCTGTTCGGTCGAGGCCAACCTTAGAATACATCAGGAAGTATAAAGGCAACTTTATATTTACTGGGCAAAGTGCAGTCGGTTCCAGAAACTTTTTTGCTACACCATGGACATCGTTCATGGCGGAGGACAGCCTCTTCTTTATTGACGGCGTTCTCTATCTTAGAGCAGAGCTAACAATCAAAAACCAGCAGGATCTCAATAGTCCTGTAGTTTGGCAGCTCTGATATTTTGTAGCACTTTTTCTTATTTCTCGTTGACCCTCTGCAGTTATTTAGTTGTAATATGTTTCAATAAGAAATGGTGGCTAGTGAAGCATAGTTCAACAGTCCTGCAAAATTGTAATTGTATGTATATTAGGATCAATGAATTCAATTTTGTTTGGTTGAAGTTGAGTTTGAAATGAAATTAATTTTGTTCAGATATTTTTGTTATATTAAGTGAGTTTGATTTAGAATTGAATGTGATTATTTAATATAGTGTAAAAGTTACTTTCAATGACTCATGCTTAAATGGATCTTTAGAGCAGAATAATAAACCAACATATACGCGTGAATAAAATTACTAATTCATTTCTGATCACTTCCTCTTGAGAAGTAAAGAACATAACTCTGATCTTCTTCCATCTAACTGATGTAAAATTACAATAAAATTATCTTCTACAAAAAGGTTAATTCTAGAATTGGAGTGAAATATGCAACTATTCATATTCCAATGCTCTCATAAAAAACTTGTTTACTTGATCAAAAAGAGCTTTTCCTAGTATTTGACTGAGATTTATGTCCCTCTAACCTTGCTTCAATCAGTTTTGCCATAAATGTATTGTCTTTTACTCCCCTAGCACATGTTGTTTTCCACTGTTTTACAGGACTTCCCTTAACTGTAACTGCAGAATGAACACATGAATCCTCCCTGCAAATACTCTCAGGGTATACCTTATCGCCTTCTGATGACATGGAACTGTTTCCAACTAGGCTCTGACTTAAATTAATCCTCTTTGTCGTGGCTCCATCACTTTCTGGTACACCCTGTTTTGTCTCCCAGAATTTTGATACCCTAGAACTAGGAGCATTTAATAGAGTTGAGCTATACCTTCCAATCTCACATGACATGTTCTTTACAGCGTTGAGTTTGTTAAGTCCTTTCTCAGCATTCGTTTTGTCTTCAAAAATACCGGTACCGATGGAAGCTTCCTTGGAAAAACTTTGAGGTGAAGTTATTGTTTCCTTTAGTTTAAAGGAATCTAATGAATATAGGCAAGGGTAAATTTCCTTGACCTTCTTAGTAGAGGAGTTACTATGTTTACTCGAGTCAATAGATTGCTTTGCTCGACGAAATGTTTCAATATCAACGTGTAATTTGTCGACAATTGAATGTGTCTGTGGGAGATCGTTATCACGACTGTCATGAAGTAGCTTCATTTGTGTGCGCTCGTCAAGCCAAGCTTCTGAAATATGAAGTATTAGCCTATCAAGGCTACTATCGTCTTTGATGTGATTTTTATTCGCATTATGCGTTACAGAACGTACTTCATGTTCATAATCTCTTACTCCTTTAGCAAAATCGTCACACAAGTTTTCCAAAAGGATATTTGTTTTTTTCTCTCTTCCGAGATCTCTCAAACTAGCACGAAACAAAGACTTCACTTCAGAAAGCTCCTTGGTAAGGCTCCGATATCGGTTTTCTAAACTCTTTCTTAACCTCCTTTCATCTTCAATCTCTTCCTTGACAGATTGGATTACATCTTTGATCATATCACGCTCTTTGACTTCGTTAACACGTTTGTCTTCTGTTATTTGTTTCATTAAGCTCTCCACTATTTTCCTATTCATTTTCTTTTCTTGTACTAACTCTTTTACTTGTGCTTGAGAAAAATCTAGTTCATTTATCAGCGCTTTTGCTGTTGCTATATTTGATGCATGCTGTTCTTCAAGACACCGCATACGATCGAGAACCTTGACTAACTCTCTCGAAGATTTCGAGTTGCAGCTTGACTGTCCTAAAGAACTTCTAGGATTTACATCATTTTCTGGCATAACCTGTTTGAAGCAAATAACATATTCATCTTATTACACTAAATAAACCAGTAAAAGTATCGATTTAAAAACCATCTTGTCGATATTCATTAAAAACGGCACAGAATCATAAAACATCTTGAGATGCAAATGAAATCTATCTATGTATTTACTTACTTCCAACGACCTACGGTAACTAGCAGGGGACGCAGACACAGATTGCACAGCGGAACCATTTCTGTCAACTGATCTACGGGGTTGACCAAATGATGCTTGAACACATCTTCTCGAATCCCTAGCAGACCCTGGCTATATTGACGGAAAAAAGTAGCAATCAACTACTGAAAAACTTAAAAAATGTCATCAAACATAATCATCCGATTGTAACAGATTACAATTGTGGTTGAATCTAACTGAATCTTATAAAACCGGCTTGGAAGGTCAAGATATTCTCACTTGTAAACATTTTTTAGGCCATATCTCATCAGATGTGAAACTTTTTAACAAAGTGCATGATGCTAATTGATAACAACGGGTAGAGTGAAACTGTGAAATCATAATTTTATGCATACAAGTCTACATCATTCTTTCTCATGATTGATATATAGAAGCCAAACCAAAGTGACCATCTTTTAAAGCTGAAATTGAAGTTTCCAGTTATAGGCATAAGAAGACAGTATACCAAAAAAGGGAAGAAATTTAGTACATGAACAATTTCATCAAAAAAGCTCATTGCCATGCCCATGTGATGGAACTAAGTGTAACTTATCTATCAATCACATGACACTGAAAATATGACATTGACACGTTGACACACATTGACATAAGTAATAATTTGAAAAAATAAATAAATTAAAAGTAACCACAAGTGTCGGCATAACTTTTGGACACGGTTACTGATTAAGACACGGACCCAGACAAAGACACGCCTTTTCAGAGGTGTCGTATTTCAGAATAACATATGTTGATTCAACTAGTACAAAAGCAAATTATACCTGAAAAACAAAACAAAAAATGAATAGATTCATACAAGTTACAGCAAAAAAACTTACCTGGTGGTGAGAGTGAAATTCCCAGAGTTTTGCACAGAGGTTTCTTGCAGAAAGTGTTTTTGAGGTTGGAGAGTTGAGGAACTCTTGTTGAACATTATGTTGAGAAGAAGGAAATTGAAGTCTCCAAGTAGGTGATGGGGTTGAAGATCTTCCTATTATTCCTCTCTTCTTGCCTGCAACAAGTTTCTTCTTTTCCACCATTAATCCTTCTTCCATTTTCTTCACACATTCTTCTCTTCTTTCCATCTTCAATTTTTTATATATATTGAAGGTTTTTTTGTTCCTTTTTTAACACTGAGTGAGATTATTGAAGAACATTAAAGTGATTTATTACAAAGAAGAAAAAAGGTGAATGAAGAAAGATGGAGAAGAAGTTAAGTAAACTTGAGTGTAAGTTATTACAAACTCAGCTTTTTTTCTCATACAGCCACGTCAATAGAATCATCAGTGCGGGTCCCACCATAAACACCTTAATATTGTCGTCCTTTTTGTCTTGTCTTATCTAATCATCACTTGAAAATATCTTACTAATGAATGTTAGGGATTCCAAATAAATAATTTATTTTTTAGAAAAGGTAAAAATTTTAACTCTCAATAAATTAAATACACAAATTTAAATAGAAAATTTGTTATTTTAAAATAATAATTTTCAATTTTTTATAAAATATTAATTAATTTTTAAATTATATATTCTAACTATTAATATGTTTCTCACTTAAAAATATTATTTTTAATATAATTTATTATTGTGGTATTTGGATCGAACTCTAGTGTCGATAAGGGTAACTTATGATTCGACAGAAATTGTGTATGCTATACTCGAAGTCTATTTGAATATAATGTTAAAAGATATTAACTTGTAATTTAAATTAGTATGTTGAATTGGGTCTTACTTCTAAGTACAATTGTTAAGTTAGCTTGTATCCTAAATTATCTTAGTAATCTATATATAAACTAATTCTCTCGTGTTGTTGAGAGGGGTTAATTGTTGGTATTTACTTGTAATCTTTTAACCCTTATTGAGAAAGTAAATAGAAAAAAATATTTAACCAATTTCTATTCTTCTTCTTTTTTCACTTCCTTTTGTAAAACCTAATAGGTTTTCTTGTGTTTGTTCAAGAAACTCAAATATTTTTCTCATATTTTGCTTTGTTCTTGACGACATCAATTCACAACAAACTAGTGCGGTGAGCGTGGAGGAGAAGATGTCGTTAACAAAGCATGAGATTGAGGAATTCACCGGTGTGAATGATTTTGGTTTGTGGCGCTTGAAGATGCAATCCCTTCTTGTTCAATAGGGTTTGTTAGAAGCGTTGAAAGGATCAAAAAAATATGGATGCTTTCCTATAAGAGAAGGAGAAGACAACGATGGTCAAAAAATCTCACAGAGCCATTGTGTCGAGCCTTGGTGATAAGATTCTCTGGCAGGTTTCAAGCAGTGACTCTAGCAAGTAGTGAATTATGGATTCAGGATGTACTTAGCACATGACTCCAAAAAAAGACGTGTTTAGGAATTGTGTGATCAAGATGGTGGATAAGTGTTGTTGGAAAATAATAAAGGTTGCAAAATTGCAATTATTGGATCTGTGAGATTCAAGTTTCATGATGAGTCAATAAGACTATTGATTGATGTTATGCATGTATCTGATCTTAAGAGGAATTTGATTTCTTTTACTGAATTCGATAAGAAAGAATATATTTTCAAAGGAAGTCTTGAGAGTTGAGAAGAAACAAGGGTTGTATACCCTTGAGACTGAGGTTGTAGGTGGTTCAACATATGTGACATCCAGAAACCTATGTCGAAGACTGAGCTATGGCACAAGAGACTTGGTCATGTTAGTGAAAGAAACCTAGTTAAATTCTCAAAACAGAATTTGTTGGGTGGTGACAAGGTCGAAAAACTTGAGTTTTGTGAACCTTGTGTGTTTGATAAATCTTGTATAATGAAGTTTAACAAAGGTAAACAAAGAACACATGGATCCATTGATTACATTCATCCTGATCTTTGGGGGCCTGCGGGAAATCCTTCACACTCAGGTGCAAAGCATTTTCTATCATAGTTGATAATTACTCCAAAAAGTTATGGGTATTCATCTAGAATCTTAAGGATGAAACTTTTGAAAAGTTCAAAAGTTGGAAGACTCTAATCGAAAACTAAACTTGCAGGAAGGTTAAGAGATTGAGGACTGACAATGGTCTTTAATTTTGCAATGAGGCTTTCGAAAAATATTATGTTGCTTATGGTATTGCAAGGCACAAAACTACTGTAGGGACTGCCCAATAAGATGGTTTGGCTGAAAGGTTTAATCGAAGCATTTTGGAGAGGGTGGGGTGCAAGTTGGTAAGTTCAGATTGAAGAAGGTGTTTTAGGTAGAAGCTGATGCAATTATAACATACCCTTTAAATAGGTGTCCCTCGACAGCTTTGGGAATGAAGACACCTGAATAATTCTGGTCGGAACATCCACCTAGTCTTGATAGACTTAGAGTGTTTGGTTGCTTAGCCTATACTCATATTAGGCAAGACAAGGTCGAACCTAGAGCTCTGAGATGTACGTTCCTTGAATATCCTGAAGAAGTCAAAGCTTATAGGCTGTGGTGCCTAGAGCCAGGTCACAAGAGGTGTATCACAAGTCGATGATGGGTTTCAAGAAAATAGATGACATTGGTCGAAGTTCGAAGGTCTCTGAATAAGAGCTTGAACAGGAAGAGATTATTATTGAGGTGGAGCACAGTGATGCTAAATTGCATGATGTCGTACCTCAAAAACTGAGAATGACCTCACAAGGCGCAATCACACGACCGCATGATGGACTTAATAGAGTCACCACCGATTTTTACTTATTCCCATATAGGGAAAGGAGAAATATTGAATAAAACCCCTTAAAAAAGACAAGGATATGGTCATCGCAACCAACATCTAGATTCGAGAGTCGGTTACGCAAGAGGAAGGTATTAGCACCACCCCACGTCTGTTGTACTCAACGGGAACTATTTAGTTAAGTTCAAATGTATGTTAGCTTATGGATTATTTCTAATCTTCTACTTATAAAATGAGAAAAGGGAAAGAAGAGAATTTTTTTAGATTTTTATATTAAAAGGGAAGAGAATCAAAAGAGGTTTTATTAGGGTGCTCACCAAGACTTCAGAGTATCATGCTACGTATCCTTACAAGGATGGAATCAGAGAAATCGTAGTTCAGGTGAAACTTTGTTGGTTGATTTTAGCGAAAGATAAAATGTATTAATCAACGTAAGAACCTTATTTTACCCAAAGAAAATGAGGAGCGAAATTTTCACCACATTGAATGGATTTACAAATCCTATTCATGCCACTTATCTTAACTCAATGGTTGTAGGCAAAATATTGCCCTAGTTTTTATTAAGACAACATCTCTTTCATTTTGAAAAGGAGTATTTGACCTTATTAGATGTCTTAAAGATTTGTCTAAGAAAATACATTTGATGACAATCAAGGTTTGTTCTTAACTATGAAGATATTTTGGTCTCTTGATGATAATCAAGGGTTGTCCATGAAAATAGAGATTTGAGTATAGTTTGGATGTGATTTAGGAATGATGAACATTTGATGATGATCAATTTTCAAAGAGTTTATGCTGGAGTGTTAAACTCCAACAGTCTCTATCATTCAAGACTGATTAGGAAAATTATTTGATGGACAATGAACTCTTAACGATAATCAATTGCTCAAAGAGTTACACCAAGATGCTAGATCTCAACGGCTCCTATTTATCCAATTTGTTATGAAAATTGTTTACTGGACAACGAGCTCTTGATGATAATCAATTACTCAAAGTGTTACGCCATGATGGTAGATCTTAACGGCTCATATTCATCCAAGTTGCTATGAAAGTTGTTTAATGGACAACGAGCTCTTAATGATAATCAGTCGTTCAAAAGGGTTATGCCAAAATGCTAGATCTTAACGACACTTATTCGTCCAAGTTAATACTGAAAGTTGTTTGATGGATAAAAAACACTTGATGATAATCAATCGTTCAAAAGGGTTATGCCAAGATGCTAGATCTTAACCGCCCTTTTTCGTCCATGTTAGTAGTGAAAGTTGTTTGATGGACAACGAACACTTGATGATAATCAATTTCTCAAAGAGTTGTGCCAAGATGCTAGATCTCAACGGCTCTTATTCGTCCAAGTTAATTATTAAGTGTTTTAAGAAACGAAAGAAAAGAATGAACGACTATCCTAATGTGCGAGTCTCGGGACTGGTCATTCGAGGGTTCTGCTAGAATACTAGATTCCAATAGTCCTCTTCTCTCGTGTTTGTTTAGAAAAAGTTGAACATTATGTTTGAATAGGAAGATGTATGAATGTAGGTAAAAAATGGTTTAATCATATTTTTTTAATAAAAAAGTACTACTTAGTATTGAGCCAAGATTTAGGAAATAAGTAATAATTTTTTAAATCAAAATTAAATTTTTTTTAATTAAGTTTTGCAATAGATAAATAGATAATAATTAATTAAGTGACAAATAAATGATGAAATTTTTTTTGGAGAATATGATTAGCTATATATATTTGTTTAATCTTAATAAAAATTACTTAACGAATTAATAATAATTAAATAAACAAATAAAATAAAAATATATATAAATAATTAAATAAAGTAAAAAAGGATAATAGAAAATATTTTTTAGAAGAGAAAAAAAAAAGAAAAAAAAGGTTAAATGGGCTATTGAAGGTGCAGGCTTTTATGAGGCGTAGAAGGCCTAGGACAAAAATATGGGCGCGGGTCAGGACATCCAGGTTGGACCTCAACCAACCCGAACCCAACATAACAAGACAAAAGAACAATTGGACCCTAAAAAATATCAGCATTCGCCTATGGATTTCTTCTTCCTCTCAATTCTGAAACAAGATACAAGAAGAAAATGGAACGACAACAATGACTGAACCAACCTATTTCAGTTTGAAATCCACCCAAATCGATTTGAAATCACTCTTTCTCGATTCAAAACTCCTTTTTCGTTGATTCTCTCTCTGAATCACTATTCTCTTTCTCTAAGTTCCCAAATCCTCTCAAAAAAACCTAATCGCAGCTTCTTATGCATTAGAAATCTGAACTCCCGCATCACCCGCTGGAATACCCTTTCGAGTCAACAACGATCCAATCACCAAAATAACTCTATCATCAGTACTGTCAACAGAATACTTGCATTGCATTTTACATCTTGTTCCTCGCCAAAGCTGTGAAACGATGGACGAAGAA